TGCGGTCGTCGCTGCGCCAGACGCAGGCGATGTCAAGGTAAACGGACCCCGTACACATGGTGGTTTATATTTTGGCTCCCTCGAAACCAAGTCGTCAAAAAATACACCCAAAAGCAAACACTCCAACGCAACCCAAGACAAACCAACACAGACCAAAGGACACTAAAACAAACCAAAACAAAAGTTTGACAAGCAAGCAAACAAACAAACATACATACACACACAGACACACACACACACACGCACAAACAAATAAATATACAAACAAACAAACAAACGAACAAACAAACAAACAAACAAACAAGCAAGCAAACAATAAACAAACAAACAAACAAGCAAGCAAGCAATCAAACAAACAAGCAAACCAACAAACAAACAATAACAATAGGAATGCATCAACCAAGCAACCAACCAACGAACCGACCAGCCAAACAAACAATCAGACAAACACACCCCCGCAAACAAGCGAGTAAGCCGACAAACAAACACAAACACAAACAAACAATCAAACACACGAACAAACAAACAAACAAACGATCAAACAAGTACATACAAACAACCAATCAAACAAACAAAACCAACCATCAATGAAACAATCATTAATCAAACAATCAAACAACAACAATCCAAACAACCAACCAAACAAAGATGCAAACACATAAGCACGCACAAACAAGCAACCAAACAAGCAATCAACCACGCAATCAATCAAGCAAGCAAGCAAGCAAACAAACAAACAAACAAACAGAACCAATAAACATATAAACACACATGTATGTGGCGTGAGACCTGAGCGATGTGTCCATGTCCCTTGTGTTGGTTGTTTCCGCATCGGATACTTGCCCCTGCACGTCAATCCAAACGGAGGTTCTGAAAGACAGATTCCTCTACAAGTCGTCTGCCTTTTGTATGGCAAGCTCGTGCATGTCGATCTCACTCGAATTCAGGTCCTTTTCGGGATTCCATTCTTATTGGCTTTGGAAAACAAAAACATAATATAGAGTTTGCGCCCATGTAAACCAATGTAAACCCATGCGAACCCATGTAAAACAATTCAATCCAATCAAAACCCATGTAAACCCTGGTTTCCCTGGCTCCCAGCCTTTATCTCGAGGAACGGGCAGTGGAATCTGGCGCCCGGGGTTCCACATCCGCGGGGCCTCAAGGCCTGGATCTTGGTTTGGATCGGTGAAACACGTTGCTCAAACCACCCGGCAGGGTTTGCCATGCCAAAAGGTACCTTGGTAAATTGAGCAAACCCGTTGGTACCTCCAAAAGGTTTCGACATGCCAACTTTTGAAGAAATCCAGCGAACAGTGATCCCTGGTTTAGCAAGTAAGACTGAATTGATGTGTTGGATTGTTGGTTTGGATTTGAATGTCTGGTTCTTGTGGGCAGCATGGGTGTTTTGTTTCAAGGTTGGGGACCCCCCCAACATGGCTTCGGTTTTCCGCTGGTTTTCCTTGTAAACCACCCAACAACTGCGCACCCTGAACAAAGACACAATGTGATGCTCAAAGCACCCCTTTAATTTACTTGGGGTTGATGGAATCTGAATCTTACCTGATTTCAGTTTATTGACGGAACCATGTCGACATAAGCAGCTGAGCAACCTTCTTTCGTTTTTGTCAGGGCACCGTGGCTTCTTGTGGTTCCGCTTTAAAGGGGACCTGGGTGTGGCTTGCGCAAAAGCGGGGGGGAACTGCATTTGCGTGGCCTCTTGGAAAAACGATGATGTCCGAGATATGGTCAACGTTCGGGAGGGACATGCGGGACGAGCTCTGGAAATTCAAGCAAAAGATCAGGGACTCGAATTGTCCCCATGTCCCGTAGGGTGTCAGCACAATATTGACCTTGGCTCATGTGCAAGATTACTGGTAGTCTTCTGCGAATTTTGAAATCAGAGCCGGAACAACAGCCCCCAAATTCATTTGTAACATTGCCCGGGTCTCATGTGTTGAAACCGCTGTTGTTTGAATATGTTTTACTGTGTGTTAATCATCACTGTTTCATCACCATGCTTTGAGATGTCCTTTGAAGGGAGCCAGGGTTTGGTTGTTTAAGCACTCTGGCCCACCCTGCTTTTTGGGTATCAGCTGATTTAGGTGTGTCGTGCTTGAGGGTACCCGTTTCACGGATTTTACAGGGAAACCAACATGCAAACCGAAACCGTTTTGGGGGGTCCAAGTGAGCCACCCATTTCAAGTTTGTAGAGCAGTTGGTTTCATGCCTTGGGTGTGCCTCCCAGTCTGAACACCTTAAGAAAGCTTGATTAATGCAAATTCTGGTTCTGGATCGAGTTTTGGTTTCGATACCGGCAGGGGTCACCCAGCAATTCCCTTGGGTGTGTGATATTTCTACCGTGTTGGGCCACTGTTGATGCGGTTTCTCTTGTCCTTCTTTTTAAGCGGGCATAGGTTGAGTCAACATGTCCAGCGCTCAACGGTGCATTTGCGAGGCACTGGGAGCTCTCGAATTTGCAACTTGCCCCCGTCCTCTTGATTCGTGTTCACCAAAGCTCATAAAAAGTTTATAGGGCTGGAGCAGCTTTAGTCTTTGAGCACCAGCAAGTTTTTTTTTGGTCGCCCGCGGCCAGCGGCTAAGCGGCCAGGGCTGCGAATTCCTGGGGTCCTGGGAGCTGCAGCTGTTGTCCGGCATCAACTTCTGCCGCCGCGATGAGGGCGCACCTCTCCATGAATTGTCGGGGGGGGGGGGGAGAAACGCAAGTCATAGCGTTGTGGTTGTTGTTATTTGTTTTGAGGGGGGGGGGTGTATGGTTTCGTTTTTTTTGGGGGGAGAGGGGGGGTGAAGTGTGGGAGGGAGGGGTACACTAAAGCCATGATTTATTTGGACTGTCACTTGGGGTGCGAGTTAACGAGTTCCCTTTGACCTATCACTTGGAAGTAAGGCCCACATTGGTGGCAAAGAAAGGGTTGCTTGCGACAGCCATGAGTAAGTTGCTTAATGTTGACGGAGGACCACTCTAGTCAGAGGAGTCTTTTGAAACGTATAATTTACTACTCAGAAGGCAAACCATCCTTGATTGGTATGGTCCTCCGGACTGATCCAAAGTTTACATTCTTGGGCATCTTACACGCAAGAACACATCTTGACGGGTGACTCGACTGATCAAGAAGATCAAAGCTATGATAAATAACACCGCGCAAAAAACACAGATTTTCCCTGGAAGTCCGCCGGAGGTCAAAGAACTAAATGCCACTGGCAACCCAGGAATTTGACCAAGTCTCAGAAAGACATGAATTCGCTGACCTCTGGCTTGACTGCTTGGTGTGATTAGTGCTGATGAAATTTCACTAAAGAAGCGCTGATACGCAACTCGTTTCCCTTGGGCGCATTCAATGCGGATTGCTTCAGAAAGTGCTACGCTACGACAGCACTGGTATGAAGATTTGCAGCTCTAAGAGCTTAGAGGCTCATTGGCGAGTTTGTTTCATTGGCCGTTGTGGTTTTTTACTCCGGGATTCATATCTAATCGTCCAAAACTTTGGTCATGGTCCTGGAAAGACTCGTTAAGCCATGGGTGAAGATGTTGGTGATGGGCCGGCCGTGTTCCCTTCGAAGGGACACACATTATTGAAACAACCGCGGTCTCCTGACAACTATTTGATTTCTTAACATTGACAACCATTGATGCGAGAATCTGATTGGTTTGCCCAGATGTTCGGCGTGGCTGCTTGAAATGGAACATGGGGGGGAGCAGAAAAAGATTCCATCTCCGGTCGTACTCCAGGGATTGCCCTTGGGAAATCTGATCCGGAGCCAGCTCCCAGCCCATTGGGCTTCGGGTCTCCACGTGCTTTGGAGCCAACTGGGTGTGGAGCTGTGAAGGTTTCCCATTTACCTTATCAAGTCCCCCAGCCAATCCAGACCACAATTAAGGGTAATCCTGAGTAAACAAAAATGGTCACTTTATCTGCAGGCGTTTTTCGGTGTTCGGTTTTCGGGGTTGCTGAAAGCTGAGGCAGAGCCATTGCGAACGTTCCGGCCGCAATGTCCAGTGGTTTGCAAGTGCAAGGCTGATCATTCCGACTGCCCCAGCACCTGTCCGGAGTAAACTGTGAGCCATCACAGCCCAGAGTGGGTCCCAAGAATGGGTGCGGAAATCTGCCCCGTTGGATTGGTTACATGGATTTGGACAGGCTCCTTTCATACCTAGTTGAGTTTGCATCCGAAGCCGAACGCTTTCAGGGATGCAGTTGCTGGTGTGGGTGGATGCCCTGAATACTGCACGGGGCCACCAGGGGCTGCCCAATTGTTGACATTCATTGTTGTGTTGCGGTTTGGTTGCGGTTGATTCACTTGCGATATCGGTGCTGTAGCATATGTTTGTAGTTGTTTGATTTGACGACAGTCTCCTGGACCCTCCCACACCCTTCATTCATATTTAAGGTGCCTGCTCCTGTCGCGGGCTTTCTGAATAAAGTCCTCGCTTGTTTTGCGCCGTTTTGCGCCACTTTGGATGACGCTCCACATGTGCGCTCTGCATTTGATATGTTTTCCGATGCAATGCGTCCATGGAGCATCGTGCCAAAAACCAGGGCGTTGCTTGCCTGCGTTCAATGCAGACACGGGCAGCTTTGTTTGGCCATGAGGACCAAGCTGATCCCAGGCCTTCCGTAGCCTCTTTTCAACAATTTCTGCGTTTCCTTTCCCAAAAGATAGTGTCCCGAAGCCAGGTGCTTTTCAAGCTGGACCTTGCGTCTGAAGAAACTGCAGATACGTATCCTGAATTCTTCAAACTACTATCCTCACAACTGTCGTAGCCAAGGTTAGGATTTCCGCGGCTCGGGCCTGTGCAAAGTGGAAAATTCGCAGGGCCCGTCCCAACAGTTGTTCTGCGTGATTTGCATTCAACCCGGAAACCAAGTACAGCGTCCTGGGTTGTCTCAAAACGGGAACTCGGAATTCCGACCCGGACAGGAAACACATGACTTTCTAAATGGGAGAAGTCGCAGGTTCGCTTGGCCGCAAGTTCCCAGGAGCAGCTAGCCAGCCATTCTCTTCAACATGGCGAGCTTAGAGGCAAAATGTGTGGGGAACTTTGAGACGTGAAGGGGCGCGCCGAGATCCAAGTTGTCCATCCCCAAACGGGTCCCTCGTTTTCTTTTTTTCCGGTGCCTCCCGCCCTCAAAGCATGACTCCGCAAAGAGACACTCACAAATGTTGTTTGGCCTCCATACCGGAATTGTTGACCCAAACAGGTGGTCCCCGACCCAACCTCGATAAAGGGAGCAATCCCTTCAAATTGTAAGGGCTGAATCATCACGCCATGTTGTTCCTATGACTTTATTTGTTTTACGGACCTGAATTCTACTTTGTGAGGCTCTTGAAGTACATCTTCGCGGAACGTGCGAGGGACATCAGGTATTCTGCGGTTGTTGTATACCATGTTTAATGAAATGGACTTGTTTTCTTCACCGCTCCATCAAAACTCGGACAAGCCTTAAGATTGCCGGACCAGGCAGACACTGAAACACATGTTTTAATTCAATTTAGTGAAACATAGTGAAATACTTTGTGAATCAACATAGTGAGTGAAATATTTAGTGAATCAAAATTGTGAATTGGGAAACATGGATTTGCAGTTTGTGACTTCAATTAGTGAATTGAGAATGTGGGTTTCCAGGTTTGTGAATTGAGCAAAGGAGCCAATTGGTCTTTGCATTTGTGATAAGAGGGCCTGCCAGCGGCTTCCCCAACAGGCGGGGCGAGCATTCGCTAATTTATTTCACTAATTTGAATAGCAACAGTTTGCCGATTTGTGGAAATTGAACCTCTAAAATTCACTATGTTTCGCTATTTCAACTCACTAAATTTCACTAATTGTCGCTAAATCAAATAATGAAACTTGATGAACTTTAGTGAAAATTAGTGAAATTTAGTGAAATATCGTTATAACATTTCATTGAATTTCATGAATTTCATTAAATTTCACTAAATTTCGCTAAATTTCACTAATTTGGGCTTGCGAAATTTAATGAAATTTAGTGAACTTCCGTGAAATTTAGTGAAATTTAGTGAAATTTGATACAGGTTAGTGATTCTTGTTTTTTCCTTTGAAAAGACTGCAATCTTGAGCAAACAATCAGTGAACAAAATAGTGAATGGAATTAGTGAAAATTAGTGAATTGGCACTTATGGAAATTGCGGGCGCTGCGTTGGGCAGACTTGGGGCCAATCGAGTCGAGGGCTTCCCTTTAGCATATAAACATTGTTTCGCGTTGCTTTGCTAAGCCTAAGGGCCTGAGCTTTGGCACAACTCACCTGGACCTAGTCACCTCGCCATGTAGGCGTATGTCCATTCACTATTCCCATTCACTATTTCCATTCGCAATTGTTTTAATTCACTTTTCCCATTCACTACTTCATTTGCTAATATTCACTAAATAATTATTTTTGATTTTTCCAATCTCTACCTCCCAGCGGGAATCTTAAGACAAGCCTCAGACGCAGCGCCAATCTTTTCCATTGTCCGGACACAAATTGAAAGGACCGACAAGACGGGCTGAGCGTCAACTAAGGTTTTCATAGCAGCCTAGTAACCACTTTTTCAAAGACATGGCAGCTGGCCTCGTCTCAGAATAAGTGGAACCTCGCCAAAAGGCACAGCCGCAGGCTTCTTGGCTTCATTGAAAGTCAACTTCAGTCGCACGGAAGTGAAGTTGGGAGGGCCCTATGAAGATGGGTTTGTCTCAAAGTCGGATAGAACCCCCCTTGGTTTCCGACTAAAAACCTGCCTAAAAGAGGATATACCGTTCGAGTGTTATTTGCAAGGTGGGGAGTTGGCCCTATCTCCGCATCCTTCCGGGGGGTGGTTCCGTGTGGACATAGCTCCTAGCTCCTAAAACCCCTGGTCCAGGTAATCAGATTTGTCGAAAAAACTGGTGTTTCATGGTAAATGCCACCTTTTTTCGTCAAAAGGTTGACATGGCATCTAAGAAGAGTGGCTCAACAAATAGTGGTCATTGCTCCGTATTCGTCAAGAGTTCCCTATCTTCATTCCATTTTCTGTTGCCGGAGCTGCTAGTTGTTCACTGTTCACTGGCCGAGGATGAGGCAGCTGGCACGGGCCCCTGTTGAGCACAGAACGGGTGCTTTCGCCCTCATGTACACAAGCTGTTTGCAAATAGGTTGCTTTGATCGCTTGCGGACTGAAACCAGCACGGCGTACACACGAGACCCTTGCCAACGCGCACATGCAGTGGGTAAAAACACTGGCCAAAAGCTCGCGCAAAAGCTCCGCGGAAGCTCCGTGAAAGGGGCCCCTGCAACTTCCCAGCCTCACCCCATGTCACGCCCAAAAAGCTCAATCAGCTCAAGCTTGCATGCTCTCCACAGATAGATTGGAGTTCTCCTGCGCGAAAGCTTCGCGGAAGCCTTCGCGCAAGGGATTTGATATTTATGTTGAATCGCAACTAGGTTTAGGATGATCAGTTTCAAGTTGCTGTTTTGAGGGGAACCTTTTGAGAGGGAAAAAGGGATCCAAAAGGACAGCGGAGCCCACTGGCACAACAGGTTCATCTCACGTATTCAACAAAGACTTGAGGGGGTTGACGGAAGCTGTGTCGAGGAATTTCTTGATCAGGATGTTCAGGGCAAACACGGGCTTGACTGAAAGTCTGTTCAGCCTGTGCGAAGCACAGTTCTTCCACCCGAGCTCTCCTTGAGCTAGATGTGCTTTTCCAAAGTTGCGTGGTGCAGCATGTCTTCTGATAGAGTCCACAACGTGGGTCCCAGCTTGATAAATCGGCAGCAGGGATTCCTGTTCGATTTGCACAATGCCTGTTGAGTTTTCAAGCTTTGGCGGGTTTGGAACTCTTGTTAGGCCATTTGCAGCTCGCAAATGGGCCCAAGCCATTCGAATAATATGTGCCGGCTGAACCGACATCCATATTTTCTTCAATAGTTCGTACAGCTTGTTTGCTTTACAGTTTGTGTTTGTCGGAGAGCATCTCATGGGCGTTAGGCAGTGTTTGCAGGAAGGTATGTTCGCTTCCAGGCTCAGATCAGATTGTTCTGCTTTGGATTGGTGGCTGGGGGATTTGAAGGGCCTCGCTACTTCCCAACTTTCCGACCTCACCGCCAATCCAAATCACCCTGGGTGGTTTGCATTGGCGGTTTGCAGGCTAGATCCAAGTCACCAACTTTGGATTGGTTTGCATGAAGGATGCCATGGATTCACTTGAGGGAACCAGTCATTTGAAGGATGCCATAGGCACCGAGACTCGACTGCTTTTGCCAGGCCACAGCTCTCACCTGGAGGCGCAATGGCAGAGCGCGGAGCAGCGTGCCACGCACCACGCGCGAGGCCAAGTTTCGTCGATGCGGTTTCGGCGTGAATGGGTGTGACTCACTCGTTTGGTTTAGACCCCATTGAGGTTAAAGGGACACCAACAAAAATGGGTGCAACCTGGGGGGCTGTTTGCGCTCAAGCGTGGTATGTTGTGACCGCATACGCCGTGTAGAGCGATGGATGTCGACGCGATTTGTTTATGAAGTAGCTCAAGCCCAGGTGGGTATGGTGTCAGCGTGTTCTTCGTACAAGTGGTTTTTGGCAAGTATTGTTGTTTCAGAATGGCACATGCTTTGTGCTCTCCAGGAAAGCTTGGTCATTGTGTCCAGCTTGCGTTTTGCGTGTTGTTCTTGGTCAGGGCACTGCTTGTCGTCTTTACTTTTTGGGTTGTGTTGTGGGGACCTGTTTAAACAACATGTCAGTGTTAAACCAAAAAGATTGAAATAACATGTTCCAGTTGTTCAAATCGTTTTGCATTGCGGGGGTCCTGGAAAACCTGTTTGATGGTGCTATGATCCTAGGACATTAACATGGAACCCACAAGAGAGTCCCTTTTAAAGGAACATAATCTACCCCCCAGTCAGGTTCCATCTTGGTGAATGGACTCTGAGGCCACGCGCGCGGATGAGCTGGAACAGCAGCTGCAAGAAGTCATGGAGGTGTGCTCCGAGGTTCATAGCCAACCCCTTGCTGACATCGGGGGAGGGGGAGACCTCTACGTTTGCCAAAATAGTGGGCTCCGTTTTGGTTACGGAACAGCAAGAGGCATCCGTTGCCATTTTGAGAAACGCCCAGCGGCAAAGGCCCATGTGCCATATGTTGCATTGAATCGGCCCATGCGCGGGAGATCTGTGTGTCCAAAGATGCAAACGGACCTCTCTGAGCCGGAAAAAAGGAAAATGCCCTTTTCCGTATGTTAAGTGCCGCAGACGCCGAAACACTGTTGCTGTCTACGAGGGAAGTTCATCAGTTCTGTGTTGTGGAGGGGCGTTATGGTCTCAATGTCCTTATTCATGCTGTTGGGAAGGTGCAACCAGTTGGCTTCACATCGCGCGTTCCAGTTCTTCCGTGCGTTTTTTTCCTCGTTTGTCGCACGATGAGAAGGCGAGAGGCAGAGGACGTGAGCATGTAGGGGTCCTGTGTAGTCAATTGTTTGGTTTTTCAGGTCAAGCAGTACATCAACCTCCATTTAATTGGGATTGGTGGTTTGGGAATTGAACCCCTGGATCTTGTGGAAGGTGCATGAAACCTCCTCAACCACCAAACCAATTTAGAGGGAAGCTGAGTGCCAGCCTTCCTCGACCCGCGGCGAGCATTTACATTCGAAAGATGAGAATCAGAATCTTCATGACGTAGCCGCTAACATTCCAGGAAGCCGGACATGTCCAGCTGGCTGGTCCCAAGCAATACGTAGAGGTCTGGCCAACAACAGTATTCACATTGGTTTATTTCAGCCCGATGTGCAAAGAGTGCTGTTTTCTTTGGCAGTGCCATGACTTTGTGGTGGTTGGCAGTACATGTCATGTCTCAGATTACTGGAGAAGATGTGCTGCCCCCGATAGCTATTTCGGCTGAAGGCGTCCGGGATTGTCGAGCAGAGAGAGCGGCAGGTCGGAAGTGCCATGTCTTTTGGCAGCTCTGAGCCATATATTTTTATGTGTGTTTAGAGTTGGATGACTGACATATCACTGGGATGTGTCATCAATTCCTCAATTCATGTTCCACCAAATAAATAGTAACTTTGGTTTAACTAACGAACTGAGGACTCATGGTCACTGCTCGGTGACGACGCACCACGTGGGCGTGACCCATCACCATGTGAGTCACCATGCGCCCAGTCACCACGCGCCCAGTCACCATGCGCCCAGTCACCATGGACACCACCATCACCATCACCAGACCCACCAGGCGCGCTCGCATAGCCATCACCACAGCTCACATGGAGGGCACTCCAAGTTCCACAACTTCTTCAACCACTTCCACCACCGCGGCCACCACAACCACAACCACCACAACCACCACCACCATCGACACCATGGGCATCACCATCATCGCCACCACGAGCTGCCGTGGGGTCCAATGCCCGTGGGTGTCTACAACCAGCCCATCATGGTGACCGCTACGCGGAGGTCGACCAAGCAACCCAGACCCGCCAGGAGGGGAGTTCCGCTCGAGTTCCCGCAGCAGTTGGATTCCTTTCGTTGAGAACTTGGAAGACTGGAGACATGGGAAGTGTCCTATGCCTCAGTCCCTATGCATCGTCTTGTAAAAGTCTTTGTATCAACATGCTGTGATTTGCAAATGGCCGATGTGCTTTTTAGTGGACCCCTCCACAAATTGTGTTGTTCCTCTGGTTTCCCTTTAAAAGCGAACAAGGGCCACCCTGGAAAACTGAGAAGCCCACCCAAATCACCTGTGTGTTTGTTCAACGCCTAGGCACATGCTGCAGTTTTTCTGGCTCCCCTTGGTTTGTAGAGCCAAGGGCCGATGCTCCGGTTGCTTCGATCCGCGAGGAGAGAGTTGGTGCTGGCCGGAGGTGGTCCTCAGCCCAGCCTGCAAGGCATCCAAGTGCGTTTGCCGCCAGAAGGCAGGGGATTCAATTTGTGATTGATTCCCTTTCCCTGTGTTGGTATCCAAGAGAAATACTCTTTGACCAAGGAATCGTGGCTGGTTACTATAGATCCACTGAGAATTGTTGGACATGGTTTGAACCCACCTCTTTGTTTTACCTAAAGGGACCAACCATGTTTTTAAATATGTATATATATATATACATACACATTTCGTTTCAACAAGAGCCACCTGGTGGTTTACCTCAAGGGACCTCAAACCCTGGCAGGTATGCAGCAAAGGGATGGTGTCACCTACTTCGAAGTGCAGGCGCGGATGGGGTCCTTGGGCCCATTTCTCGGGGAGAGGGAGGCACGTGACCCAGACTGCCACAAGCCAGAAAAGGTGTGTATTTCCTCTGGTTTCAAAGGAAATCGACTGGGCAGATTTTCTCAGCAAGAGGAAAGGGTCCATTCACAAGCTGAGTTTCTGGACTTTCGCCACTTTTGGGCTACACAAAAGCGTGGCAAGCGAGAAGTTTGGTGACTTTCTTCGGGTCAACGGGTTTTGGGAGACCCGGAAGGGTTTGGTTGAGTGGATACAATTGAATACCCAGATGAGATGTTCTCGAAAGCTTGGTCCGATGCAACTGGGCTTTCGAGTGCGCATCGCCCGCATCTCGCATGGTTGCCGGTTCGCCTTGAAGAGCCTCGACTTGGGGATTCCGAACATTCAGATGGGCCACTACGAGACTAGACCGAGTCAGGAAACAAATGACCGTGTACTACGAGACTAAACCGAGTCAGGAAACAAATGACCGTGTCAGGAAACATGAATCAAGAAATGGACAGGGGCGAGTCAAGAAACAACTGGAGGCAAGTCAAGTATGAAAGTGATAGATATTTAGATCGCAACAGCAAACGTGAGTCAGGAAACGCGAACACGGGAGTCACGAAACGCGACTCAGAAATGATGTGGTCAGTGCTTTTGAATTGGCGGTGATGCTGGGGATGCAAGTATGGCACTAGGTGCTTTGCGCTCTGACGCGTGCTTCGTGCATCGTTCCTTGATATCGGCGTGGCTCGGATCAAGGAACAACCTGGCGTGCAAAGCTGTTCCAATCAGGGGAGCGGGGAGGGATGCTGGCGCAATGCAAAGGGGGATGCAGAAGCCACTGCATGCTTTGTCCTTTGCCGTTTGCTTTGTGCATTGCGCCTTGTGTTTTAGGGTTTAGGTTTAGGGTTTTAAAAAGGTTCAGATTTAGGGTTAGGTTTACGTTTGTAGGGTTCAGGTTTAAGGTTTTTAAGGTTTAGGTTTAAAGTTTTTAGGGCTCAGGTTTGGGGTTCTCAGGGTTTAGGTTTAGGGGTCTTAGGTGAGGTTTAGGCTTTTAGGGATTAGGGCTTTGGTTTAGTTTCTCAGCGTCTACAAGGAAGCGGGGGGTTGGGGGGGGGGGGTGGTGGTCCCCCCGACCACCCCCTAAGTAGAAAACAAATAAAGACACTAATTTTAATGGAACAATGTGCGTGACTGTAAAACAGAATCACAAAGTCGCACAACGGCCCTATAAAGAAGTGAGGGGGTTAGGGGGGGGGGGCGCAGCCCCCCCCATCAGAAAAACAAACGTTCAAAGAAGCTTTTACATCGCGCGATTACGGAAACGAGAACCACGAAGCCGAACAACCGCCCTGTTCCTGTCGTTTCCGCGTCGGTTCCTGACTCACCACGGTCGTTGTCTGGCTCACAAAACCTTATTCACTTGACTCCAAACTTTGAGAGGGCCCCGGCACGCTGTTCCTGTCGTTTCCGGGCCCGTTTCCTGACTTACGACGGTCATTTCCTGACTCGCGAAACCTTATTCACTTGACTCCAAACTTTTCACAACGCCGCGCCGCATTGTTCCTACCGTGTCCACCTGACTCACCGATGTTTCCTGACTCACGAAACCTTATTCACTTGACTCCAAACCTTCCACAACTCTCCAAGGCTTTGTTCCTGTCGTTTCCGGGGCCGTTTCCTGACTCACAACACCGCATCTACATATTTCTTGACACGATCCAACTTGTTTCCTGACTTGGGCCCACCCGTTTCCTGACTTCGTCCAACCCGTTTCTTGACTCTGTTTCCTGACTCGCCCCTTACCCGGGCAACTACGATAGTTCACGCACCAGGGTAGGCCTCTGTTTGCCATGGAAGGCCCTTTTGGTTTCAGGGGAAACCGGACTGAAGATATTGTTTAGGGGCCCTTTTTGAGACACGCCCTCTTACTTCCCACGTGGTTTGATAAGAACCTACACGAGCCGAGGCAGAGGTTCCTGGTTGGAGGGGTCCAATTACTTTTTGAATGGTGACTTACGATGGGAGATCAAAGCGCGACCGTGATCCCCTAAAACATAGTGTTTCCTGTTGGTATCTCTTCAACCGCAAGACCAAAAACGTCCACCCCACATATGTCTTGACCCTTCAAGAAGAAAGGGACTGTTTTGGCGGCTTGGTGAGTGGGCCAATCCTAACAGAAACATCTCTTGCAACAAACTTTGGATTTCCCTCTCAAACTTCGCCAGATGCTGGCTGTTTGAGCCACGCTCATGGGTCACGAGTCACGAGGGTTCGTTCAGGTGCTGCCCCCCAACGACGTGCCTTGGCGAGTCATGCGTCGCTTCAAGCACTTCCGCGCCTTGTCCAAGGCTGGGCAACAAACAGAACACAAACAAATGATAAGGGGCAGAAGAATCACAGTACGAGGTGACGCGTATCATTATCATGATTCATGATGACTTAATTCGGTTTCCAAGTACGCCCACCCCTTTCTCTACTTACTGTATTTGGGCCCTTAGGTTACTACTCAGCGACTCAACCTGGAACAATGCTCTGGAACAATGCAAAATGGACCCGCAAAAGGATGTCCATCAACGATTTGTGTATTGGTGTGGGTTTCGTGTTAATCTGCATCGAAGATTCTGAATCCCCTGGAGAAAGCCACACGTAAAAAATTGGATCCGTGCCAACTTTTGGTCAAATCCATTTGGAGTTCTCCGTTGCATAATGTATCTTGTTGGTGAGGGAGTCCTGGTTGTTGTTTCTGCCAAACGGAAGCCCAACGGGGATGGAC